CCGCCCCCAGCCCCACTCCTGTAGCATCTTAGACTGTGATCTTATTTGGAAATAAGATCACTGCAAATGTAATTAGTTAAGATGAGGTCATTCTGGACTAGGGTGGGCCCTTAATCCAATATGACTGGAGTCCTTATAAAAAAGGGAAAATTTGGACACAGACAGGCACATAGGGAGAATGACATGTAAAGGTGAAGGCAGAGATCGGGTGATGATTCTACAAGCCAAGGGATGCCAAACATTGCTGGCAAACCACCCAAAGCTAGGGCGGAGGCATGGAACAGATCCTTCCCAAACCCACTTCAGAAGGAACCAACCCTGCAGGCACCTTGATCTTGGCCTTCTAGCCTCCAGAACTGTGAGACAATGAGTTTCTGTTGTTTAAGCCTCCGGTTTGTGGTACTTTGTTACCAGAGCCTTAGCAACTAATACACAGATGAATACAGCCATTGGGGTAAGAAATGAGACCCCTGATGACTTGCTGGGTCCTGATGAGCTGGCCAGGGCCTTTCCCGTGCCCTTGGCAGTGCTCCTTCTACCTCAGATTGAGCATCCAAGTGCAAATCACTTTGCCTAACTTAGCCATCATCGGGGAAATCTTCCAACACAGCAGCAACTAGACCAGTGATGGCGAACCTTTTGAGCTCGGCATGTCAGCATTTTGAAAAATCCTAACTTAACTCTGGTGCCCTGTCACATATAGAAATTTTTGATATTTGCAACCATAGTAAAACAAAGACATATTTTTTATATTTATTTTATATATTTAAATGCCATTTAACAAAGAAAAATCAACCAAAAAAATGAGTTCACATGTCACCTCTGACACGCATGTCATAGGTTCACCATCACTGGACTAGACCATAAAACTATTCCTTGAAGGCATCAGTGAACTCAGTTTTAGCATTACCAATAACCATGCCTGAAATTCCTACAGCACTGAATAATGGAAAAAGCACAGGCTTTGAGGTTAGGCAGATCTGGGCTCCAATACCGGCCCTGCCACTTATTGGTTGGTGGCAAGGTATTTTGCCTCTCAGAAGTGCAGCTTCACCATTTGTGAAATGTGAAAGTGGAAGTAGAAAACAGATCTACTTCTGAGGGTGGCCCTGAGTATGGAATGAAACAGACAACAGTGTAGAAGGCCAACATGGGTTCTGGTGCGTGTAGACACTCAGCAGCGTTAGTGGCCTTTCCCTTCCATGTTTCTGATTTGATCCTCATACCAAAGGACTTGCCCAGCAGGGCAGGAGGCAAGACCCAATTCAGGCCTTTCACACCAAGACCAGAGATCTTTCCCTGGGAGGAACCACCTCCAGGACTGAGCCAACACTAAGCTGTGCCAATCCCTCCTTCTGTCACTCTAATAACATTTAAAGTGGGCTTCTGAGGGTCGAGATGATCTGGATGCAGGTCCTAGTGAACACCTGTACAAAGGCCTGACCAAGCAGAGAGATAGGCTTCCCAAGGTCACCTGGGGTGCCAACTGAATCTCACTACTGAATCAGAATCAGACTTTTAAAGTTGGGTGGGACTTTAGAGATGGAAGACTTTACATTCCTCATTTTATAGAAGAGGAAGCAGGAGCTCAGATGGGGCCCCAACCACTCAGCATCAAGCTGAATGCTCTCAAAAACCACAGTCTAATGTTCCTTCCATTCTATTATGCCCCCTGTAGCTACAGTGTCTTCTCAGCAATGGAAGAACCAGAATAGGTCCACGGAGAGGTAAATTATTCTCAGAATAAACCTTTGTCATTGAAGAGAATTGTGGCTTTAGTGGAATCAAGGTGCCTCCCAGCTTTGTGATGCTGAGAGCAAGGCCAGGTAAAGGTGGATTTCAAGGTGGTGCTGCAATAGTAATGTAGCGAAGGGGTGGGCACATCAGGGCTCTTTCACACCTACTGTCATTGGTGGTGAGTTTTGCTCATCTCAGCCCCAGCAGCTCTTTAAGCAGCTCATGGCAGTTTCCGAGTAGGTGGAGGGGGCGAGGAGCAGTGACTCGTGTTTGGAAATCTCCTAAATTGGCTGACTCCCATTTACATGCTGTTTCTGGCAACAGAGATCAGTCTGGGTCACCTCCATGTCACTGAGTAAATATGCTGAAAATTATTACTATTTCAGACAAATGTTTAACTGTTCTCAGATTATCTATGACACCCCAGGCCAGAGTCACAGCAATCTAACCTGGGAGTGAGTTTATTTTACTTGGTGATTTATGGAATGAGAATTCTGGGCGCTCTGTGGGACTAATTTAATATGAAACATTCAGATGTCTGTCTTATAATGCCATTCATCTTTCCTTAGCCTGCCTGCACCAGGGGGCATGTGGTTCAGAGTGCAGACTCTCCCGTCTCAGCCACAAATCATCACACTTGTGAAAGGGGGTGACATGTCTTCCCTTCCAAGCCCGGCTGCCTGCAGCAGAGAGGCAGCCAGCAGTGAAGGGTCCATCTGGGCACTGATGAGAGAAGAATGCTTTCTACTCTATCAGGCCTTAGGAGTGTTTTGAAAGTTACAACTAGCAAAGAAGGGATCATAGTCAACATTGCTTTAGATTGCCATGTGATAAAGGAAGTTCAGTCAGTTTCTACTGCCTTGTCAACAAGTGCAAGACTTGTTTTATAACAAACTTGTGTAATAGTCTGTGGATTGATGTGGTAATGCATGCCTTAGTTCGGGCTGCTATAACAAAGTACCATAGGCTTACAAGCAACAGAAACTTATTTCTCACAGGTCTGGAGCCCGGAAGTCTGTGATCAGGGTGCCAGCCTGGTTAGGTTGTGGTGAGAGTCCTCTTCTGGGTTGCAGACTGCTGACTTCTTTCTCCCTGTATCCTCACATGGCACAGAGCAGAGCAGAGGAAGGAAGCTCTCTTATAAGGGCACTAATTCTATTCATGAAGGCTCCATCCTCATGACTTCATCTAATCCTAATTACTTCCCAAAGACCCCACCTCCTAATGCCATCACATCAGGGCATAGAATTTTAATACATGAGTTTTGGAGGGACAAAATATTCAGTCCGTCATAATACATGTGATGAGGTAAATGGAGTGAATGTGTCTCCATAACTTGCCAACCTGAGTGTGCTTAATTTAATATGAAAGGTCTAGTCCAGCTTTTATATTAGTTCCCTTTGATGGCTCCCCACTGCATTTAAAAAAAGAAAAATTTCAGCCCAGCCAGCGTGGCTCAATGGTTGAGCATCGACCTATGAATCAGGGGGTCACAGTTCAATTTCTGGTCAGGGCACATGCCGGGGTTGCAGGCTCGATCCCAGTGTGGGGTGCGAAGGAGGCAACCGATTAGATTCTCTCTAATAATTGATTTTCTATCTCTCTCTCCCTCTCCTTTCTTCTCTGAAATCAATAAAAATATTTTTAAAAGATAAAATAAAAAGAAAAAGAAAAATTCAAACTCCTTAGCATGACTGATGAAGCCCTCCAGAACCGGCGTGTGCCCACCCATCCCTTGCTTCATGCCCGTTACACCAACGTTCAAGACCTCTGCACTGTCCACGTAGCCACACCGCTATTGCATACACCTTTGCATGCCCAGCACTCAGAACAGTGAGTGCCTGGCTATATTTATATAAGAATTAGTTCCTTGAAAACTCATTTTCTGTTTTCTAAGGAAAGTATCTATCTCCCGACCTATATGGATTTCATTTATGGGGCAAGAGAACTATTTTGAAAATTAATTTTTCTAAGAGTACTTATTATGAAATGAAATAATATCCTGTGGAACTTCATAGTTTTCGATGAGCCTGCCAGGGCTTAGAGCAAGCACAGGACAGAGAGGTGTAGTCTCCCCGCAGCAAGAAGCTCCTACAGTGGAGAAAGGGTCACTTTGGCAAATAGGACCCCTTCCTGCCCCTGTTCCAAAGCTTTTCCTCTTTGTGCAATAAGAATGCCTAAGAAATCTCCAGGAAGCTGGCTATTGCTCCCACCCTCAAAATGACTCTGCTCCTTTATAAATGTATCCTAACCCTGACATTATTCTTGTGACCTTTAAGATTTCATCGGCACCGAAGGCAGCTTAATTAACATGGGAAGCTCAGCACCTCAACTCATTTGATTTGCCTCCAACGTCTGGGCCTGGTTATAATCTCTGGGTGGGTGGTCTGGACACAAGGACATTTCCATTACTTCTCAAGGAAATGGTGATGAGTAAACGTGAGGACATTTAGACTCAGACTCTTACACAAAGAAGCAAGTGCTTGCCTTCATAACCTCTGAACATGAGAATAACAGTGTCCATAGGGCTCTTGAAACCGTACTTAGCACTTGGGCCACGCCCAGCTGGGGGGGCACAGAACTCCTGGGTGGGCTTCTCAAGTGTGGTCAGCTACCACTCTCTGTTCCAGAGGCTCGTTGAATGCAAACTACCTGTCCCACCTCCAAATAAAAATCTCTGCTTTCGAGTCTGGGACTCTGTGTTTTATCACACCTGTGCACACATTAAACTTTGAGAAGCATATGAAGGAAGCATTCTTGCTGACCCACGAATGGCTCAGGAACGATTGTTTTTAAGATAAAAGATGGGATTTAAAAGTCCTTAGAAGAGAAAAGCAAGGAAGACTGAAGAAAGAAGTCAAAAGGCGAGGAGAAAGAGGACAGGAAGGATGAGTGTGGTAGAAATCTAAAAAGCAATATAATAAAATCTTATGCTTTGCGGGGTGCTAACCCTGGCATTTCTTGGGGTCCCTCCTCTCCTCCATTCCTTTCCAACTCAGTCCGCTGGCTTATTTAAGGAGAGTGTGCCTTTAGGCGCTTTCCTTTATAACAGTTGCTGGTGGTGGCACCTAGAGATGACTGGCAGCTGCCTCAGTTGGTCTGACAGAGCTGACATTATTGACCATCCTTGTTGGGGGCCAGAAAGCTGGCAACAAGGTCCTTGCACCTGAAGGGGCTAGCAAGGCTGGGACCCTTACCCACACAGTTTTCCCAGACTTGTTTGGGATGGTGATTATCAGTAGAATGAGAGCAACATTTGTAGAATGAGAACAGCCTTTCATAGCTTACCAAGAAGTCTGTAACTATTTACTGAGATATGCTGTACTGAGAACTTGTCCTTCTGCTGTGTCTCTCCCTTAGAGATTAAGAGGAACAAAGAATACATTCCTCTTGACAGACCTCCTATTCAGTGTGTTATGTATAAATAGGATTGTGTGGCTAATAAAGTTGCTTCAGTTCATCGAGAGAACTGGAGTCCTCCCGATCCCGCTTTCCTGTCTTTCTTTCTTTTCTCAATTCCCACCTCCCTGCCTCAGCCGGCTCAACCTTGTCAGGCTGGCCCTGACACATCCTCACCCAGGCCAACACACCAATAGTAATTCCTAAGTTGGACACACTAGGACTGATAAGCCAGGACCTAATGGAGCCAGCAGCTGACTGCACCTTGTATCTAGCCATAAACCAGCACAGGATACCGCAGATAATGAGTGATGGCACGTCCAATTCAGAATCACCATTTTCCTTGCCGTATAAATATAATTTCCTGTCTCCTTTCTTCCTCCCTCCCCCGACCCAGTTGCACCATGGATGTAAGCACTTCCTCACTCCTCATATATTTCCATTTGCACATATGGTGCAGGGTGACAGCCTATGGATAGTAGAGTCACATCACAGACGGGAAGAATTAGAAAATATGAGAGCGGGCAGCAGGCACCCACTGAGCACCCACGGTCCGCGGCCGGTCCACTTACTCTCATCAGCCCTCTCCTGAGTGGTTTTTGTTGATCTTGCTCTGCAGTTGCTTCTGGCCAAGCAGCCCCAACCATGCCATTTACGCCGAATTCTAGTTTATTGTGCTGAGAACAAAACTGCTGCTCGTTCTTTCTGCTCACCTATGAGGAGGGGTTGAGATGTACTCAGAGGCAGGCGGGGACTGCAGACAATGGTGCAATAAAAACAACCGAGGAGCGCCACTGGGTCCAAATTCCACTTAACCCAGGACATTTGCATCGGATTTTGTAATGTCCTTGAATAACACAGACTTGTGGGTTTTGATCGCTTTCTTCCAAATGATGCCAGGAAAAATGTGCTGCCTTGGTCCATTGCAAATCTCGATGGCCCTCAGCACACCTGGGCTATTATTAAAGGTTAGCTCACAAATGCTGCAACAGCTATTGGCTGCAATTTCTAAGTGATTCTCTCTTAAAAGAGAACAGGTGTATCTTTACCTTTTGTTGTTTGTTTGTTTGTTTGTTGCTTTGTTCTCTTGACCCGCAAACAAATATTTAGTTTTTATGAACAATCAAGAAAAAAAAAGGAAATTCAAGGTTATTGCTTTAAGAAACTACCTCTGCATTTTGAATCATTACTGATGTGTCCTGTTTTATAAAGCTGATATAAGCACCCAGATAAAATGATCCTTATTTATAAATGCTGTTGGTTAATCTCAGAATGCCTGTCAAAAGGCATATTGCTTTTAGTTCACTTGCATAGAAACATACAACTTCACTTCAACACTTCCCCAGGCAACCAAAGCTAGAGTAGGGCAGAAACATCTAGAAAAGTTCTTCCCCCCAGGACAATCACCAATGCTGATCTGCTTGTTCATCACATCTGGATCACCTTAAGGGTGTTTGAGAACCAGCAGGAAATACATTTCTGGAGAAAGCCATGGACTTGAGGATGGTTGCTATAGTCTTTAATAATAAATGGTTTCCAGTTGATAGAAAAATATTGAAATGTGACTTATACATATGAGGCTGATTCAAATTTGATAAACATGGCCCCAAAGGAAATTACTGGGCTTATTAAAAGCCTAGGAGGGCTGAACAGAATTGCAGTCATCTTATCCCGGAGTCCTTGCTGGAGGTGGGGTAACGGCTCCCCAGTCTACCTTCCAGCCAACCACAGAGGAAGGTCAGTAATAAAGAACGGGGCTGGCCTTAGTCTAAGCTAGACAAGCCGTTGTCAACGAAGCCAGTGTTGCTGCCTTGCTGGTGGAGTGTGATGTGTTGATGACTGTTATATTACATCTAAAATCCCATTTACTAGTAATAGGAAAGTTCAGTGCAGAGTCTTGCCTTATGTCTCCTGGTACTTGATACGCATTGTGTGATATTACCAATTTTCGCTTCAGGCGTTTTCACGTGCCACAGTGAAGACTTCACAGGAATTTGCACATTTGATCTAGGCTGAAATTATGCCATTTTCATTGCAAATCAACTTATCCGTGGCAGCAAAATGATAGGTACTTTTGCTCCTAGAGAAATGCCTTTGTTTTCAAGATATTTTGAAAAAACATAAAATGCTCTGTGACTATGGGGATTGTGATCCTGTCATTCTAGGGAGGGGCTCAGCAGGTTAAGAATCCTGTTGGTTTTATGCTATACGCCTAAAGTTAATATAAAATAATATGGACTATAAGCTGTAATTGAAAAAAATTTAAATTAATAAACATAAAAGAATCTTGTTAGCCTACTTCATAACTGGGAGTGCATTTCTTAACCCTTCTTGTTTGAACTTTCTTTTTTTAAAAAAAGAAGAAGAAGAACAAAACAAAATGCAATCTTATCTTTCTATGCTCCACAAAGCTGTTCTGGAATGCCTTCACATCTCTAACATCCACTGTATGTAGAGAAAATGTCTGCAAAAGGGCAAATTGCTGTGGAGGTAACACAGGAAATTTCACCTCACTGTGCTCTGCTTTTAGCGGGGTTGGAGGCGGCAGCAATTTATTCCTGCAGCCCCACTGACTTGAAGACAGGGAGTAAATACTGGGCCTTCTGCAGCGGTACCCAGAGCCCCCTTCAGCGGAGATGATCTACTGCCTCCCTGCATCACATTAAAGTGGTGGATGGAGGAGTGAGCCCAGCTGAGCCATTCTGTACACACCTAGCCAGGTTGCAATTTATATTCAGACAGAGCTGTGAGTGGCTTTCAGAGGAAGAGAGCGAAAAAGAGCATTTCTCTGGAAATGTTCTACCCAGACCGGAAACCAAACTGCGATTTGTCACTGTTATTTTTTAAAAATGATTCTTTCATCAACGCAGGAAGAAACTGACACCTAAGATTGCTAAGAATTTTTCTTGACCCTGCTATTAAAAAAAAAAAAAATCATTCCATGACTTTTTCTTCAAATAGTGCATGTACCCTCTCCCAGAGTTTCTGTATCAAGGACACAGCCCATGACTTTTGGTTACTGAGCTTATGTGCGCAATTATGCAGCTTCACTCTTGTGCATAACATCTAGCCGTGCCCTATATAGTCCTACACTGTTCCTACAGGCCAAACCCAGGGGAAATTGGAGGAGGAAAGACTGACTCACGACGTGGCATTCAGTGGCTACCAGCCATTTCCTTTTCATTCAGTAAATACAGGATTTTAACATGAAGATTTGGAAAATATGGTGACTGAGCCAGAAAAAATGTCAGTCTGGGTCAAATTTAATGGTAGGTGGTCAAAGAGTCTATTTTATTATTTAAATATAAATATAACTTGACACCACTAAGTTATTTTTCAATAGTAACTAGTAGTCTTCTTTCTTTTTTCCTGGAAGAAAATATACTTAACATAGTTATTTTACTGGCATTACTTTGTCTAGTTCTGTTCCCTTTCCAGGAATAGGGTTGAGGAATCAAATGCTGCTCTACGTAAAATGTAAAGGTCATAGCTTTTTAAAGAGAGAGACAGCATAAAATTAAAAAGGATGGATGGGGAGGGGTGGGAAGAGATTAGCCAGAGATCTTCTATGCATACATGCATAACCCATGGACACAGACAATAATGCAGGAGGGGGTACGGGGGTAGAGGGTGTCAATGGGGAAAAAAGGGAATATCTGTAATACTTTCAACAATAAAGATTAAAAAAGGGGCGGGGGATGGCCCTGACTGGGTGTTTCAGTTGATTGTAGTGTCATCCCTACACCAAAAGGTTATGCATTCGATTCCTGGTCAGGGCACACACCTAGGTTGTGGGTTCCATCCCTGGTCCAGGCACCTACAGGAGGCAACCAATTGATGTTTCTCTCTCACATCAATGCCTCTCTCTCTCTCTCTCTCTCTCAATAAAAAATTCTTGGGTAAGGATTAAAAAATTAAAAAGGATGAATAATAATCACATCAAAGCAAGTATATTAGTACACCTATATAGGCTATACAGGCAAAATACAGCACAAAATATGATGGCTCTGCTAGAAATTGAGTCGATGTACCAGAGACTGCAGCTTCTCGGGTGGAGACACCACGATGTCTGTGGCTTCAGGGCCCTGCTGCCTTCGGATTCTGGCATAATTGGCTCTGACCTCCATCAGTTGTTTTAACTCTGTTAAAAAAATATTTTGAGAGGCAAGTCAAGGCATTTATAGAAAATAATTAAAAGTCCAGGGTAATGAAACACTGAAGTTTCTTCAGAAATCCTTCACTCCATGCCGGACTCTCACTACACACTTGACTTCTTATCACATCACATAGGTGTTAACATTCTTGGGATTTCTACCCAATGGCAGTTGCTGGAGAGGGCTTCCTTCCAGGCATGTTATAAAGCCTGAACTGAAAGCTAACCTAGGAGTGGTCTAAAAATTGAACCCACTGAGAAGATGGTAAACACAGCAGTGAGAACAGTTCAGATCTCATGACAAATGGCATAAAGCACTCTTTTAATTTTGTCAGGGGTATGTATGAAAGAAACCATTCTAATGGCATCTGATTTGTTTTGCCAAAAACCCAATGTGATTTTTTGATGACTAACTTCCACGTGCTAAATGTTTTTACATTATAGTACACAAAATGAGTTATTATAAAGTATTAGTTTTGAAACTCCTAGGCTGTCTTATTTTCTACTACACATAAGCCATGAAGCCACAGAAAATTATGAATTAAGTTTTTAATTAATTAACTATCCCTTTATAAGTATATACATGCTAGTAGCCTTTCTCTTTTAAACATTTTGAATATTTAGATTTCTATAAATAATTATTTCTAACTTAATTCTTTCAGAAAAAAAAACAATGAGATAGCACTCATATAGTAAACTAAGTTTCTAAAGTGCAATTAAATTAAAAGTCTGTAATCAATCAGATTTTTTAGAACACATATCACTTACTGGAAAGAATTCAGACAATTGCAGAAAACCACTAACCATATGCAGGTACTATGGGGACCCACTTTTATAAAAAAGAATCAACATTCACATCATAGTAATCCACGTGCTTACAAAATTGAAGATGGAAAAACGAACTTTGGTCCACACAACCTAGTCACAGGTTCACAGAGCCAACAGAGAGGGAAATTGTAGGGAGAGTGATATTTGCATTTCCAATTTTCTCTCTTCCCTTCACAGTTTTTATTGGTAACGAGCCTGCCTCTGGGAAAGCAGCCTACATTTCTCACTGTATTTTGGATACCCTTTGGCTAGGTTGACTGCAGCATTCTTAGGTTTATTTATCAGAGAGGTCCAATGAACACAGTGAGGCCAGGAGGCTGAGGTCCAGACGACAGAAGGCCAACCCAAGAGTATGAAAGATTAAGCATACCAGTAAATAATGAAGGGACTTGGTAAGTACCTCCTACTATTCAATTGTGTTGTAATATTTCAAGTGTGTTTACATACTTAGATTGAAAACTCTTTCAGGAAAGGGACCCGGAAGGGTTTCTTTTATAGGCTATGCACTTTGGGAACACACAAAGCTGTCAACTAATGCCAATGATAAGAACCCCAATGATTGGCATATTCTTCCAAGGAACCACATCATGAGGGTCTGCAGGAGCTGGGGTGTTGGGTAATGGTGAGTGACAGGGACAATAGAATACAAAGAATACAAGATTGGAGCCTCTTCCTTTGTACAGGAAGGTGCTAGAGGAATAGTTGTAGCACGCTAAAAAAATTGGTCATCCCAATAAATTCCCGTTTCCCTACTTTTTAGTCTTCATTCCTATGCTTTTGTTCCTTCATGACTAAATGTAAAGAACTAATTATGACAGTTTGAAAAGTTTTTGGTTTACATACCTTATATATAACATAGTAATAATCATTTTATGGTGACCTTTTAAAAGAAACAACCTAGCTTTATTACTTTAGAAAACCAGATAATTCACTTCCTATTCTTTTAATGTCTTTAGAGTGATAGCAATGCTCTTCAGAATTTCCTAAAAATGATGTTTTTGCTGATCTATGCTTACCTACCAAAAAGGGCTTTAAATTCCTCAGGATAAATAAGATAAAGGACAACAGTTGGTTTAAAAACAAATACATGTTCTTTTCCACTATCTACACTAATAAAAGAGAAACATGGTAATTGGCGTACGACCGCTACCCTTCCCATTGGCTAATCAGGGAGATATGTAAATTAACTGACAGCCAAGATGGCGGCTGGCAGCCAGGCAGCTTAAAGCGAACATGAGGCTTGCTTCCTTCATTGAAGGAGAAAGCCAACGTTCCCCGCCTGCTGCTGCCAGCCTCTGAGCTGGCAGTTTGAAACTTTGTAACACTTTCAGCC